GTTGACCCTGAGTTTAGTGGCTTTGAGGTGGATGTGGCCACAAGTGGTCAAGGAAATATCAAAAACCTTGATAATAACCCATGTGCAACATCCTTTCAATTTTGGTACTGCTGGTAGTGTCATCCTGCCGGAATGCCTTATAACCTATGCCCTAAGTAAAGAAACAATTCTGGAACGTGTAATACGTGTTCGGCAGGCTGACTGGCTGGCTGATCGACTTTGGTTGTCCCTATCTCTGTGTCTATCTTTGTCTCACAGGTACACATAAATACAATTATACATAGTGAAATTACCTAGCATAACCCAAAAAAAAATCCAGACAAAGTTCTATACTGTGCTTGTAGATTTTTTTTTTTTTTCAACAAGTTGGCCGTCTCCCACCGAGGCAGGGTGACCCAAAAAAGAAAGAAAATCCCCAAAAAGAAAATACTTTCATCATCATTTAACACTTTCACCTCACTCGCACATAATCACTGTTTTTGCAGAGGTGCTCAGAATAAAACAGTTTAGAAGCATATACGTATGAAGATACACAACATATCCCTTCAAACTGCTAATATCCCGAACATAATAAGCATGACTGGCAAGTAATACGTATTTTCACTTGTTCAGGAATCAGACGTGATTACTCTGCATCGTGTGTAATGCTTGTTGATTCACGAGTGGCTCTCTGAGACGAAGACAGATAAGCAGAGACCAGATATAAACAGAGAGCTAGACACAGATGGACATGTTTGTGTAACAGTCGAAACAGATAAAGCCAAGTCAGTGCATGATCATCAAATGTCACTCCACTGCTTTATATATATACTCCTGCATGTCTAAAACATTGCTGGGACCTATAAATACTATTTATATATTTCTAGACAATAGTATGTGACCAAGGCAAGTGAAAATGTTCACCTGTCAGTGTGTTTGTGACTATTTGAGTACCTAATGTTAGTGTCAGAACAAAGATTAGCTATGAAATAACAAGAACTACTACAAATTGTAATTATCAGAACATAAAAATTATAGAAATTAAAAAGAGAAAAGAGAGAGAAAGGTATATCAGCAACACTTCTGCAAGCGGCAGGACTCCATGTTGCCGTTAGGTGAGCGACAAGTGCTGGCTTTGCGGTCTTATATTTCTAATATTTTTTTTTTTTTTTAAGTCTTCCATCTCCCACCGAGGCAGTGACCCAAAAAAGAAAGAAAAAATCCCCAAAAAGAAAATACTTTCATCATCATTCAATACTTTCACCACACTCACACATAATCACTGTTTTTGCAGAGGTGCTCAGAATACAACAGCTTAGAAGCATATGTGTATAAATAACAAAAAGGCACAATACCGTGACTGGAACAATACATAAATAACCCGCACATAAAAGAGAGAAGCTTACGACGACGTTTCGGTCCGACCATTGACAAAGTCACACTAACCAGAGACGGTCCAAGTCGGACCGAAACGTCGTTGTAAGCTTCTCTCTTTTATGTGCGGGTTATTTGTGTATATGTGTATAAAGATACACAACGTATCCCTCCAAACTGCCAATATCCCGAACCCCTCCTTTAAAGTGCAGGCAACATTGTACTTCCCATTTCCAGGACTCAAGTCCAACTATATAAAAATAACCAGTTTCCCTGAATCTCTGTAAGTACTGGCTCTAAAAGAAAATTTTTATTTATGTAAAAAATGTCCTCTGTATTTAAAAAAGAAAAAACTTTTTTTTCTCTCAAAATATTTGGAGTACTAGGCGAGAGAATGTAGATCTACATTTGGAGAGTTAAGGGGTTAAACCATAAACACAGTCAGTTTTTTCTCACTGTGTACTGCAGGATTTTTTTTATATGGTGCACACCTTCCGCATAGACCTATTCTTTCATATCTAGGCCCAAATTGACCGCTCGCAGCTTATCTGAATGAGATGAGGTCACAGCATAGAACTACAGCAGTGATAATGGTTTGAAAGCCGTAGAACTACACCATGGACACTAAAAGAGTTAGGGGATTAAGTGTTATTTTCAGGGCAGAGTAAGCCTTGGATAACTCAATTCAAGGGAACCGAATCCTTGAATACAAGGGTTCGACTGTGTTTGCTAGTCTGTTTTTTTGACACCACAAATACGTGTGTGTTTGTTTTTCAATGCTGCTAGTGAAGCAGATCTTTGTGACATTTTGTTAGGAATGCTGGCTGCAACCCAACTGATGCTGCATTAGCAACAGTTAGTGTTTTTTATTTTTTAACATTTGGTTTATCAAGCCTTGATGCTCTAGGAGACCTAGGCTGGAACTGGGCTGCGGGGACGTTGTCTCCCCGGAAACGTCCCTCAGGCGTCATTTAAGTTGAATAACAGATTAAGAGCTATTGTCCTGCTTCAGCTCATATCAGGTCCTAGCTAAGGTATACTACCATGCTGGATAGGCACCTAAAGTCAGTACCTGACCAGCTGGGCTGTGGTTCATACGTCAGGTTGTGTGGAGCCAACAGTAACAGCCTGGTTGATCAGGCCCTGATCCACCATGAGGCCTTGTCACAGACCGAGCTGCAGGGGCATTGACTCCCAAAACTCTCTCTAGGTATACTCTAGGTTGCCACCCGAAGTAGTCTACTAACACCCAGGTACCTACTTAATGCTAGGTGAACAGGGACAACAGGTGTAAGAGACCTGCTGAACCTTCCCAGCTGTGCTGGAGATCCAACCACAGACCCAGGAGATCCAACCACAGACCCACAGTTTGTGAGTTGAGGGTGCTATTAACTAAGCCATTTATTTTAATATTTCTTAGCAGTGATGGTAAAAGCTGTAAAAGCCGTGGGTTGTAGATGTTGATCTTTGTATACTATACCAGTCATCCAAAATCTACCATCACTGACTTTGTAGACTGTACCAGTCATCCAGATTGCTGTCATCTTACATTGTAAACCATACCAGTCATCCAGACTGTGCCATCATTTGACCTTTGTACACCATACCAGTCATCCAGACTGTGCCATCATTTGACCTTTGTAAACTATACCAGTCATCCAGACTCACATTTGAACAATGTTCTTCTTCCCGTGTGGTAACACCATCTCGCTCCATGCACTAGTTTTTTTTTCCCATTCATTATTATTATTTCTATAGACTTAGTCTGTTGATCATAAACATATGCATATGATTGGTTAAAGTTTTTGAGCTAAATATTTTTTTTTTTGTTTTTTCATGTAAATATACAATAGATTATGGCATGTGAATGTATGGAAGTTTGGACATTTAGAGAGGATGAAGCAAAATAGGATGACTTAGAGTGTGTAGCAATCTGTAATGAAGGGAAGGCAGGACAGAGGTCATCCTAGGAAAGGTTGGAGGGAGGGGGTAAAGGCTGTTTACCCCCTTGGGTAAACCCCCTAGGGCTTAGCCAAGGATGTCCAAGCCCCCTAGGGGCTTGGACATCCAGCAGGCATGTGTGTGCATGTTAGGAGTGAGTGGAGGCAAGTGGTTTTTGGGACGTGACAAGCTGTTGGAGTGTGAGCAACACAACATGTTGTGAAAGGGTTCAGGGAAACTGGTTAGCTGGACTTGAGTCCTGGAGGTGGGAAGTACAGTGCCTGCACTCTGTACGAGGGGTGGGGATATTTGCAGTTGAGAGGGGCAACTGCACCTGGCAAGACAGCGATGGAGTGAATGATGGTAAAAGCTTCTTTTTCGGGTCACCCTACCAGTGTGTTAAAAAAAAAATTAAGCTCTCATTTCTGGGTGCCTCTGCAAAGACAGTAATTGTGAGAATGATGGTGAAAGCGTTTCTTTTTTGGGTCACTCTGCCTCGGTTGGAGATGGCCAACATGTTAAAAAAAAATATTATGGTAATGTTTTCCATTACCATAATATTTTATATAAATTTGGCAGGGTTCTTAATCTTTTCTGTATCTTATAATCATGTATGATGATAGGTAAATCTTAGAAAATTCTGCTTACATTCATTATAAACCTTTACAGTTCAGTGTGCCTCTTAATAGTTGTTAATTCTCTAATATTTCTTTCCTAACTTACAAGATCTACTTGAGGCTGGGTCATGGCCAAGATAATCTATGAAACCACTAAAAGATAACCCTCCATGACAGTCTGGCTTCAGGCAACATATTGTTATCTTATGATGTCACTTTTTTAATGTAGTACTCAAGTGATTTACCTGATGTTTCTTGTATTTCCTCAAATGCTATTTCTTCAAAACTGCTTTTAAAAATCCCAATTTATGATCACTGAATCAGTTTAAAGTATTAATGCATTTACCTACCTTTTTTTTTTGTATTGTTCAGTAGAACTCCAGTATCCACTGATTTGGTGTCCATGGGTTCAATTATCCATCGTTTACCGTGGCCCAAAAATAACCTTTAACTCGGCTTAATAATGGCCCCACAGTGCAAAAATTGTGATGGTGGCAGTTGTTCAAAGCCTAAGAGGAGCTATGAAGTGCTTCCCATCAGTGAAAAGTGATAATTATAGACTTGTTTTGCATAATTTGTCGATTAAACTTTATCATAAGTACGTGTGTAAATGAAAAATGACTTGCATATAGGGTTCACTGCCATCCATGGTAGGTCTTGGAACGTATCCCCTGTGGATACAGAAATTCTACTGTACAGTCTCTCCTCGCTTAACAATGGAGTTCTGTTCCTAATACTGCGTCAGTAAACGATTTCATCGCTAAACGAGGAGCATACTATGACGGTAGTGGTTTTATGTCACCCATCCTTGATATTCTTTTAATGCCACATTTGCACCATTTATAACATTTTTAGTATGTTTTTTAAATGTTTATACAGTAGTGTACTGTATATTGTAATAAACAGAATAGAGGAAATCAGCTCTAATTTACATTATTTAGGTATGCATATTGGTCAGAGAGCCTGTTGTAAGTCCGAGTCGTCGGTAAGTAAGTACATTGCTAAGTGAGGAAAGGCTGTATTAAACACAATTCAGGAGGTCTCCAATGTGTTTGTAAATTGAGGACTTATTGTAATTATTTATTTCAGCGTCTTCACGAGCTGCGTCACTTGTGCCTTCTCGCGGCACACTGGTTGTGTGCCCCGCTTCACTTCTTGGTCAGTGGCAAGGTGAAGCTCAAAACCGGGTCTCCAGGGGTAAAATGAGGTCCCTGGTTTATCATGGAACTAGCAGAGACATGGATGTGAACAGGTAAATTTTTTAATGAACTGTATTGTCAGTACGCCTCTGGCAAGACAATAGTGGAGTGAATGATGATGAAAGTGTTTCAACTTCTTCGGGTCACCCTACCTTGGTGGCAAATGGCCGATGTGTTAGTTAAAAGAAATTATTTTTTTTTTCTGGTTGGAAAAGTGATTTTCATTTTTTTTTAAATATATATCACTTATATACTTGAAGGCTGGTTTGAGAATATAGTGATTCAGAGATTCATTCAAATTATCATGTCCAGACACTTGTGGTAAGACAGCTATTGAATGATTGATGGTGAAAGAGGTTTTCTTTGCATCGTTCTACCTTGGTGGGAAATGTTTGACGTAGAATTGTTAAAAGTTTGTTTGGCCAAATATACTACTGATATTTCTCACATTAACAGGATGTATTTGAAGTTGATTCAGATAATTATAAGAATTTGATTTTCAAATTTAATCTACTTAACAATCAGAAGTTTAATCTACTTAACAATCAGAAGTTGAGATAAGATTTGTTGGCATTTTTAACCTGGAGGGTTAGCTATCCAGGATAACCCAAAGAGGTCAGTACGTTATCAAGGACTATCTCTTATTTCCATTGTGGTCCTTCAATCTCGTCACCCAGGATGCCACCCACACAAGTCCACTAACACCCAGGTATCTTCTTAATGGTAGGTGAACAAGGACAGCAGGTGTAAGGTAACATGCCCAACACTTCCACCCATGCCGGGATTGAACCCCTGACAAACACTCCTTACTGCACGAGTCCTATCATACCTATTCTTAAAGCTCCATAATAACTACAGGTTTAACACTAAGGTATAATTCTTCATCTTTCAGCTTGGCTCGCTACGACCTCATTATCACAACTTACACATTAGTCATGAAGGAAGCCTTTCCTAAGAGCAAGGATAAAGTTCAAAATAAAGGCAAAGATAAAGTCCCTAAGGTAAGTCTTCCCTATGTACTGAAGTATACAGGAGAGCCCTGCTTATACAGCAGGTTGAGTTCCAGGCTTCTGCTGTACAGGAGGGCCCTGCTTATACAGCAGGTTGAGTTCCAGGCTTCTGCTGTACAGGAGGGCCCTGCTTATACAGCAGGTTGAGTTCCAGGCTTCTGCTGTACAGGAGGGCCCTGCTTATACAGCAGGTTGAGTTCCAGGCTTCTGCTGTACAGGAGGGCCCTGCTTATACAGCAGGTTGAGTTCCAGGCTTCTGCTGTACAGGAGGGCCCTGCTTATACAGCAGGTTGAGTTCCAGGCTTCTGCTGTACAGGAGGGCCCTGCTTATACAGCAGGTTGAGTTCCAGGCTTCTGCTGTACAGGAGGGCCCCACTTATACAGCAGGTTGAGTTCCAGGCTTCTGCTGTACAGGAGGGCCCTGCTTATATAGCAGGTTGAGTTCCAGGCTTCTGCTGTACAGGAGGGCCCTGCTTATATAGCAGGTTGAGTTCCAGGCTTCTGCTGTACAGGAGGGCCCTGCTTATACAGTAGGTTCAGTTCCAGGCTTCTGTACAGGAGAGCCCCACTTATACAGCAGGTTGAGTTCCAGGCTTCTGTTGTACAGGAGGGCTTCAGTTTCTCGAGGGATGCGACAGATTAATTTTGGGTGCGAGTTATAGGCCCCCAAACCTTGATAGAGAGTGCAGTAAGCTGTTATGGGACAAAATTCATGAGGCATCTAGATATGAAAATGTTGTGATAATGGGAGGTTTTAACTTTAGACAAATTGATTGGAACATTATGACAGGAAATCTTGAGTCTAGTGACTTTCTTCATACGGTTCAGGATTGCTTTTTAGAACAGGTTGTGACAGAACCAACTAGAGGAAACAATCTGCTTGACTTGGTTCTTGCCAACAAAGATTCACTAATTAATAATCTTGAGGTTGATGATGAGGTTGGAGAAAGTGATCACAAATCACATAGTTTCAATATATATTGGAATTACCCAGATAACTGCAATCAAATCTCTGTCCCATATTTTCACTTGGCAGACTTCATGGCACTGAAAAATTACCTGGGTGGGCTAAATTGGGATGTCCTAACTATGGGTCAGGTAGGTGATCTTGGTTGCCAATATGATGTTTTTCAGAGCATTGTTCTAGGCTGCCCAGACAACTTTTGTTCCGAGTAGGGAAATTAAACCTAACAAAAATGATCCCAAATGGATGAACAATAGATTAAAACATCTTATTGGTCAAACGAGAGGCATATATAGGCATATCAAAAGAGGGAATGGGCAGTTAAGAAATCAATATATTCAATTAAAGAGAGAAATAAAAAAAGGAATAAGAAAAGCAAAAAGGGATTATGAGGCTAAGGTCGCAAAGGATTCAAAGACTAACCCAAAAGGGTTCTTTCAGACAGAAGTAAGATTAGGGACAAGATTGGCCCACTTAAGAGTAACTCGGTTCAGATCACTGACAGTGAAAAGGATATGTGTGAAATTCTCAATACCTACTTCCTCTCAGTTTTCACCCAGGAAAATACTAGTGATATTCCTGAAATAATAGATTATGTAGAACAGGATAATAAACTATATACGATTGCGGTAAATAGTGACATGGTCCTCAGATAAATAGAGAAACTAAAACCCAAAAAATCCCCGGACCCTGATGAACTGTTTGCAAGGGTGTTAAAGGAATGTAAAGAGGAACTTAGCATACCTTTGGGTAATCTTTTTAACATATCACTACAAACTGGCATAGTGCCTGATAAGTGGAAAATGGCAGGAGGGCTCCCTATTTACAAGGCAGGTGACAGGTCCTTGGCTTCGAACTATAGACCAATAAGCGTTACCTCCATAGTGGAAAAATTTATGGAATCAATAATTGCCGAAGCAATTCGTAGCCAACTTGATAGGCACAGATTGATTAATGAATCTCAACACGGTTTTACAAAAGGGCGTTCCTGTCACGAATTTACTAACTTTTTTAACTAAGGTGTTTGAGGAGGTAGATCATGGTAATGAATATGATATTGTGTATATGGACTTCAGTAAGGCTTTCGAAAGAGTTCCACACCAGAGGCTATTGAGGAAACTTAAGGCACACGGAAAAGGAGGAGAAATTTTTTCCTGTGTAGAGGCATGGCTGACAAATAGGCAGCAGAGAGTTTGCATAAATGGGGAGAAATAGAATGGGGGCATATCACAAGCGGTGTTCCTCAGGTGTCAGTGTTGGGCCCGTTGTTGTTCACAATTTACAGAAACGACATAGATGAGGTAATAAATACCGACATAAGCAAATTTGCTGATGACACCAAAATAGGCCGTCCAGTTCATTCTAATGAGAACACTAGAGCACTCCAGGATGATTTGAGTAGACTGATGGAATGGTCGGAGAATTGGCAGACGCAATTTAATATTGACAAATGCAAAGTTCTAAATGTTGGACAGGTAAATAACCATGCCACATGTAAACTAAATAATGTTGATCTTAATACTACTGATTGCGAAAAGGATTTAGGAGTTATGGTTAGCAGTAATTTAAAACCAAGGCAACAGTGCATTAGTGTTCGCAATAAAGCTAACAGGACTCTTGGTTTCATATCTAGAAGTATAAATAATAGAAGTCCTCAGGTTGTTCTTCAACTCTATATATCCTTGGTTAGGCCTCATTTAGACTATGCTGTTCATTTCTGGTCACTGTATTACAGAATGGATATAAATGCTCTGGAAAACATACAGAGGAGGATGACAAAGATGATCCCATGTATTAGAAATCTTCCCTATGAGGATAGACTGAGGGCCCTGAATCTGCATTCTCTCGAAAGGCATAGAATTAGGGGGGATATGATCGAGGTGTATAAATGGAAAACGGGAATAAATAAAGGGGATGTAAATAGCGTGCTGAAAATTTCCAGCCAAGACAGGACTCGCAGCAATGGTTTCAAGTTGGAAAAATTCAGATTCAGGAAGGATATAGGAAATCACTGGTTTGGTAATAGAGTTGTGGATGAGTGGAACAAACTCCCGAGTACAGTTATTTAGGCTAAAATGTTGTGTAGTTTTAAAAATAGGTTAAATACATGAGTGGGTGTGGGTGGGCGAGAGTTGGACCTGATTAGCTTGTGCTGCTGGGACTAGTGCCGTGCTCCTTCCTTGAGTGGAGGTTACCAGACTGGGTGGGTCATTGGGCTAATCCAGGGGGGACATGGACCTGCTCCGCATGGGTCAGTACGCCTGTTGCAGTGTTCCTTCTTTCTTATGTTCTTATACAGCAGGTTGAGTTCCAGGCTTCTGCTGCACAGGAGGGCCCCGCTTATACAGCAAGTTGAGTTCCAGGCTTCTGCTGTGTAGGTGTGGATGGAGTGCAGTGCCTGCACTCTGAAGGTGGTGTGGATGTAATGTAGTGCAGTGCCTGCATTCTGAAGGTGTGGATGTAGTGTAGTGCAGTGCCTGCATTCTAAAGGTGTGGATGTAGTGTAGTGCAGTACCTGCACTCAGAAGGTGGTGTGGATGTAGTGTAGTGCAGTACCTGCACTCAGAAGGTGGTGTGGATGTAGTGTAGTGCCTGCATTCTAAAGGAGGTGTGGATGTAGTGTAGTGCCTGCACTCTGAAGGTGTGGATGTAGTGTAGTGCAGTACCTGCACTCAGAAGGTGGTGTGGATGTAGTGTAGTGCCTGCATTCTAAAGGAGGTGTGGATGTAGTGTAGTGCCTGCACTCTGAAGGTGTGGATGTAGTGTAGTGCAGTACCTGCACTCAGAAGGTGGTGTGGATGTAGTGTAGTGCCTGCATTCTAAAGGAGGTGTGGATGTAGTGTAGTGCCTGCACTCTGAAGGTGTGGATGTAGTGTAGTGCAGTACCTGCACTCAGGTGGTGGTGTGGATGTAGTGTAGTGCCTGCATTCTAAAGGAGGTGTGGATGTAGTGTAGTGCCTGCACTCTGAAGGTGTGGATGTAGTGTAGTGCAGTACCTGCACTCTGATGGTGGTGTGGATGTAGTGTAGTGCAGTGCCTGCACGCTGAAGGAGGTGGTGAAGTTCAGAACTTCGTTTTAATTATGTTGTATGCATACTTTTAAGACAGCTATTGAATGAATGATGGTGAACGTATATGTACTTTTTCTGTGTGCCACACAAACTTGTTGTGATTTTTTTTTTTTTTTTTTTTTTTTTTTTTTTCCCCCCCAACAAGTCGGCCGTCTCCCACCGAGGCAGGGTGACCCAAAAAAGAAAGAAAATCCCCAAAAAGGAAATACTTTCATCATCATTCAACACTTTCACCACACTCGCACATTATCACTGTTTTTGCAGAGGTGCTCAGAATACAACAGTCTAGAAGCATACACATATAAAGATACACAACATATCCCTCCAAACTGCCAATATCCCAAACTACTCCTTTAAACTGCAGGCATTGTACTTCCCATTTCCAGGACTCAAGTCCGACTATATGAAAATAACCGGTTTCCCTGAATCCCTTCACTAAATATTACCCTGCTCACACTCCAACAGATCGTCAGGTCCCAAGTACCATTCGTCTCCATTCACTCCTATCTAACACGCTCACGCACGCTTGCTGGAAGTCCAAGCCCCTTGCCCACAAAACCTCCTTTACCCCCTCTCTCCAACCCTTTCGAGGACGACCCCTACCCCGCCTTCCTTCCCATATAGATTTATATGCTTTCCATGTCATTCTACTTTGATCCATTCTCTCTAAATGACCAAACCACCTCAACAACCCCTCTTCTGCCCTCTGACTAATACTTTTATTAACTCCACACCTTTTCCTAATTTCCACACTCCGAATTTTGTGCATAATATTTACACCACACATTGCCCTTAAACAGGACATCTCCACTGCCTCCAACCGTCTCCTCGCTGCTGCATTTACCACCCAAGCTTCACACCCATATAAGAGTGTTGGTACTACTATACTTTCATACATTCCTTTCTTTGCCTCCATAGATAACGTTTTTTGACTCCACATATACCTCAATGCACCA